TACATTTTTACATCTTTATTAACAACATCTTTATTAACAACTTTTTAAACATCTTTATTAACGATCTGGATGTGGGGGTGAAGATCTCGCTGGACAATTTCGCAGACAACACCAAGTTATGGGGGAGCGTGGTCACACTTGAAGATAGGCTACAGTTACAGGCAGACCTAGACAGGCTAGCAAGTTGGGCAGATTGGAATTTGATGAAGTTCAATGTCAAGAAATGTAAAGTGCTCCACCTCGGGACAAGCAACCCCCCAGCACACCTACAGGTTTGGTGGCACTAAACTGACTAGCACCACAAATGAAAGGGACCTGTAAATAATAACAGACCACAGTATGAATATGAACTGGCAGTGCAATTCTGTAGCCTGTAGGGCAAATAATATTCTGGCATGCATCGATCAATGCGTCTCCAGCAAAGCCAAGGAGGTGATTCTTCTGCTCTACTTAGCACTGGTGAGATCACAGCTAGAGTACTGCATCCAGTTCTGGGCACCACACTTTAACAAGGATGTGGCCAAGCTTGAGAAAGTCAAAAGAAGAGCCACCCATATGGACCAGAGTCTTAAAAGACAAGCCATATGAAGAAAGGTTGAGGGATCTGGGACTCTTCAGCCAGAGGAAAAGAAGGCTGAGGGGGGACCTGGTAGCTACATTACCGCTACACTAAGGGAATACATCAAGGGCTCGGTGAGCAACTGTTCACCAGGGCACCCAAGGGGAAAACCAGGAGTAATGGCCACAAACTCCTGGAAGATCAATTCAGGCTTAACATTATGAAAAACTTTTTCACAGTCAGGGTGTCCAGACTGTGGAATAAGCTTTCTCTAGAGGTGGTGCAATCATCTACCCTGGAAATCTTCAAAAGGAGACTAGAGAGTCACCTTGCTGGGGCCAGCTGACCCCCAGTTATTTTTCCTGCTTGATCCAGGGGGCTGGACCCGATAATCTTCTGAGGTCTGTTCTGGCCTTACAATCTATAAATCACAGTCTACAGGTGTGCCTATATTAAACTAATTAACTCTGCTGTAGGATAGTATTGTTTGGGACAAGTACTATCCTTCAGTGGAGTAATGATATGCGTTCAAATGCACACGTAGACTATGACAGGCTGACTGGGGTACAAGGGTGTTACAGTGTGTGGGCTGCCTGCCACCTAGCCCCCGCTCGAGCTCTGATGGGGCTGAAGAAGAGGGGAGTTCCAGAGCTGAGAAGCAACTGCTGAGAATGATCTCCTATGAGTTTTTGCTAAGCAGACTTGATGTATCAATGGTATTTGCAGGATGTTGCTCTCAGTTGACTTCAGGGATTGCAATGGAACATAAGGGAGAAAAAGAAAGTCCCTCAGGTACCCAGGGCCCAGACCATTTCAGAGATTTCACAGATTTTCATAGACAATAGGGCCTGGAAGGGACCTTACAAGATCGAGTCCAGCCCCCTTGCCATAGGCAGGAAGTCTGCTGGAGTCAAATAATCCCAGCAAGATAAGCATCCAAACACTTTTTGAAAGAGTCCAGAGTAGGTGGTTGCACCACCTCTGGGGGGAGTCTGTTCCAGACCCTGGACACTCCAACTGTAAAGAAGTTTTTCCTTACGACTAGTCTAAATTGGCCTTCCAGAAGTTTGTGGCCATTAGACCTTGTTATCCTTTGGGAAGAACAACTGTTCTCCAGATACTGGTACATCCACCTTATATACTTATAGATTGCCACCAAGTCCCCCCTGAGCCTTCTCTTCTCCAGGCTAAAGTGTCCCATGTCCCTCAGCCTCTCCTTGTAAGGCTTGCTCTCTTGGCCTTTGATCATGTGAGGGCCCCTCCAATTTTTTTTTTGGCCCCCCGGAAGGTGGGGGGGGGGGGGCAAAACTGTATGCAGTACTCCAGCGGTGGCCTCACTAAGTCCGAGTAAAGCAGGAAGATAATGTCCCTGGTTTTGCTTGAAATGCATCGGTGGGTGCATGCCGGAGTTTGGTCTACTTTGCTGTCTACGGCATCGCATTGGTGGCTCATATTCATCTTGTGGTCAATCAAGACCCCCAAGTCTTTTTTGGTCATGGTGCTAGCGAGCGTAGCACTGCTCAGCCTATGAATATGATGCTGGTTTTTTCCTCCCATCAGGTTTTGGTCCTTGTGAGCCTGTACAGGTTGGCCTGTATCCCCAGCCTGTCCTCTAGTGAGACTACCTTCCCCCATAGTTTACTGGCATCCACGAACTTTGCCAGTCTATATCTGATGTCCAAATCCAGATCATTAATGAAGATGTTTAAGAATACTGGTCCAAGCACTGAGCCCTAAGGGACACCACTGGTTGCCTTGCATCATATTGATTTGCTTCCGTCCATTAATACTCTTTGGATCCAACCCTGGAGCCAGTTCCCCAGCCACTGGACCCTGAGATGGTTGAGGCCACAGTTCCCCAGCTTAACCATGAGGACATCATGGGAGACCAAGTCAAAGGCATTCTTGAAATCCAGATAAATGACATCAACCTCATTTCCCTTGTCCAGGCAATGCGTCACCTGATCATAGATGGAGACAAGGTTGGTTAGGCAAGATGTTCCAGCAACAAAGCCATGCTGGCTGGCACTCAGAAAGTTGCCTTCCATTAGTCTGTTGCTGATGGAACCTTTGATGATTTTCTCCAGGATCTTTCCAGGGATTGGCCTGTAATTCACTGGATCTTCTTTCCTTCCTTTCTTGAAGAATGGGACCACAGTGGCTCTTTTCCAGTCTGCTGGTACCTCTCCCAAGCACCATGAGTTCTCAAATATCTTAGTCATAGGGCGTGCTATGATGTCTGCCAGCTCCTTCAGGACTCTCTAGTGCATTCTATCCGGGCCTGTAGACTTAGGGATGTTGAGCCTCTCAAGGTATTCCCTCACTTGATCTATGTGGGCCCCTCTCCTGCCCCCTGGATGCTTTGCATCCTGTCCGACAGGGTGACCCAAAAAGCACCCAACAAGGTATTGAGAGCTGGTGCAAATTCCGAAGCATTGCAATTGCATATCTCTGGCAACCGATCACTATGAGAAGGAATGCTACTGTAATCTGCACCAGCTGCAGTTTCTGGACAGTCTTCAATGACAGCTACAGATATGTAGTGCACATTTTAGTACATATATACTACAGAGTAAAGGTGATAGAGTATGAGTTGGACCATTACTCATCATATCAGAAGCCTGATTCATTCAGATTAATAGAAGTTAAAAACCTTGCATCTCTTCTAACTTGCTATACAGATGTGTCTTGGTACCAACCCCCTTCTCCCACAACAAAAAACCCCCAAAAACAAAAACCCACCAACCAACCAAAAAAAGGGACTGTCTTTTTCTTTCTGGGATTTGGTTTTATTTAAAGAAAACAGGAAAGAATAAAACAACTTAAGAAACATCAGTTTTTGGTTGCTAACATTCCTATCCAGAGGACAGCTAGATTCAAACTTTAGATCCTCTTTCTTCCAGAGCATCACTCTGTGTATCTTTATATTCAATCAGCTGTGACTAGAACCACTCATTTTTCCCCCAAGAAAACCTATACCTAGCAACAGGGTGGGATGTTTCAAGCTAGTCTGTTTCAATGTAATTCTGACTTTTGCTATCATGACTGTATATAGCCAAACACCAGAATTGTCCAACCTAGTGTTCAGGAATTTAAAAGAGAAGAGAGGCAGAATTTGGGTTCATTCTTGATGACCATTAAAAGTAATAATATATTTTAGGTATAAAACTGCATTTTAAATTTAAACATGCTCATTGGCATCCAGCCATAACAATACATCAAATTAGGTTATTTTCTTGCTGATTTAAAATAGCAAATCTCTTTAATCACAGCAAATGTCTTTATAGTCTACTTGTTTCCCTGTCTACTTAGGCAGCTCATTATTTAGTGGATATCATAGGCAAAAGGGCAAAATTAATATTTTCAAAATTAATTTACTACAGAACTTGAAAAAAAAATCATTTTTTGAAGCAAACCGCGCCAATCATTTTCAAACCCCCTAAGGTAATTCCCATATATAATTTCATTCCCCTAAGAGTATGTGAAAATGTTTCCCTGAGTCAGTAACAATATTAAAGGAAACTATTCCACATTTAGAAACAGTATCTTGAGGCATGACTCTTTAACTGTGCATCACTGTGTCAAAGGAAGATCGGCATGAAGGCTAAACCAGTAGGTATAATAGGATACTATTGACAATTAGAACTATGTTTTGCTTCAGAATCACCACTAGACATGTCTGCTTCCTCCTAGCTCTAGAAAAGAGTTTGAGACTTGCAGGTGATATTATATGATAAACAGATGAAACCTCAACCTAAATGAGGAGCCCCAGAGATGACTCTTCAATTGATATCTGCCAATTGAGTGGATAAAAAATAGAATTAGAAAATTCCCATGAAAGACATTTTCTGGTAAAGAGCAAGAGAAGTCATAGAAAGAAGAGCCAAAATGGGCAAGCATATTAGAATAAAAAACAGTTTAAACTTATTTGTAGGATTCTTGATTTAAAAAGAACAAATAAAAACAAGTTTTAGTTAGTTCTTATCTGAACTAGTTTACATATCCCTACTGAAGACGCAACATTGTAAATATACTCCTAATGCTATTCTTTTCTCTGATGTGAGTCTATGTTCCCATTTTAATTTATCTTCATTTCAAGAACTTTCTTTTTTCTTGCAGATTATAGAGCAACTAGCAGACTCAATTTTAGGTATTAGACTATTTGTTGGAACCAGTGGAAACCATTTAAAGAAAAATATTCTACATGTTTACAGACAGATCAAAATTAAAGCCTCATTTTTTCTTACCTTAATTTTGTCTCATCATTTTATGGGTGTAAAATATTACCAATGGGTGCAAATGATGGTACAAAATGGAACTCGGGCATTTTGTAAGCTTATATTACTGTACCATAAAATGCAATTAAAAATGAGAACTTCTTTCATTCATAGAGAGAGAAATAAAATAACATGACTTGAATAAACTTTAAACCCTTTCTTACTTTTTGTTTACTTGCAGATCTGTCTCGTGTGTAGCCATTTTCGGTCCTGTTCCAGCAGTCTTTAGAGCCCTTTGTCTCCGCTTTCTGTTTGGAGCTATATCAGCCATGTCTGGGCTGTTTAGAAGGGAATCCCTTCTTTCTGTACCTGCCAAAATATATGGAAAAAGAACAAAAATTGACAAGATGCCCAAAGAAACAACTTTATAATAAAATTACACCTTTGTATATCAGGAACTATGCTGATAACATGCTCAGAAACCACAGTAATGACCATTACGATGACCTAAATGGACAGAGAAGGAAATGGCAGTTACCAACAAAGGAGTGCAGACAGGACCAGAAGCAAAAATATATGATTTCTGATCCTGTTTCTGCCACGTTTGCTTTCTAGTTTTAGATTTTGTCTATGTCTCATGCATTCTGTCTGTAAAAAAGGATCATCTCCACATACCTAACTCACAGCAGATTATAGAAATTACTGTAATTATTGGTAAGGGACAGCTCTTTAGAGAAACTAAAGGAGTCAAGAAAGAACTGATCTTAATATTTGGAAAGTAGCAGTGCCTATAAGATTTTGGTGTGCAAAGACCAGTAGAGAGTTTTGCTTTGGTGTTATCTTGTTCCCAATGTGTTCATGAGTCAAAAACCTCCAGTGTTGGGGAAGTGCTGTCACTGTGGCACTAAGGAGACTCAGGAATGTGACTCAGCACAGACAATATCTTTACAGGAAAAGACCTTGCTACAGCAGTGCATAAATATACCCACATGGTTTGTGAAAGTGAGCCCTCAGTACCTCTATGGGGTTCATATGGAGATCTTGAGCAGAGGTAATTCATCAATCATGCTTTTCCAGATCTATGATTTGATACTTTTCCCAGATCACTCCCATGTAAAAATCCTTAGGGCCAATGTAAGGGGAGATGGATCTTCTTGATGTCATAATACAAGAAATGAGGACTGATTGACAGCCAGGGAGACTTTGGCTGTGTGGCCCAAGATGTTGTCCCTTACTAACAAACCAGTCCAGATCTCTGGATGACTGTTGATCAAGGTGAAGTGAACCAGCATATTGAAGGCACCATGCCAATGTGCCTTCCCCTCAACCCAATACATTGACTTAGTTCCCTGGCAATTCTCAATGTACATAAATTATTATATCCCTTGGGATGCAGAAGCAGTGATAGCTGCAAATTGAGCTGGAGATTTAGATTTGTTGGTAAAAGGAAAGAAAGTGAGTTCATTAACAGAATTTCCAATTTCCTTCATCAAAGCAGGAACAGGCCTGTATAACAGGTACAGGCCATCATAACTCTTACGCTTCATTGTTGCCATTTGTCAGCCTGTGTCTTCCTCACTAGTGGTCCAGAAACTACAGGTATCAGCCTTAACTCAGTAAACTTATATTAGTAGATCAATTAAATTCCAAAGTGAATTAGAGACGTATTTGGTAGCCGTATTGCTCTGAGATGAAAAGAAATACAAAAATCTATAATTCTTGGTTCAGAGGTGATACCTTTTATCCAACTAAAGGGCAAAATTAAGTACATTAAGAAATTGCAAAATAAAGTAAATTTTTCTGCAAATTTTTGGACTCGCACGTCTGCCATCAGGCTCAGGGAAAATTAAAGATGGTAAAAAGTCCCCATATGTAGGATTTCTTACATATGGGGACTTTTTACCATTTCTAACTTTGCCTGAACCTGATGATAGGTGTGTGAGCCTGAAAGCTTGCAGAAAAAAATATTTTTGTTTTGCAATTTCTCATTTGGTCTAATAAAAAGTGAATTAGTGCATTGTAACATTTTATGATGGATATAAAAAAAATAATTCCTTCCTCAACTGTGGTTACTGTGATTTTTGATGTAGCATGATCCATCCACCGAGATTCTCTTCTATAAGTTTCAATATACAAAAAGTAGTGATCACCATCCCATCACTCACTGGTGGCATGACCTCCAATGTTGCTTCCAGCCACTTGAAATTAAAAGGTTGAAACATTAAAAATTAAAATTAAAAAGTTAAAACAGAGAGCAAGAGAGGAAATTACAATGTTGCCCCTAGCATCACTTGCTCAGCAGTGTTGCCCAATGGCCTGCAAAAGTTTGGTACCACTAATACATACACACAGTAGTTGTGTCTACATTTTCTTCCGGGCTTTCAAAATGTTGCAGTATACTTTCATTTAGCATGCATATTTTTTAATTTAGAAACTTCAAGCATCTGGAATTTTTAAGATACTGACATCTAAAATAGATTGATTTTTCAGCTGAAATGCGATAAAGAAGCAACTGGGGCCCATGAAGAGGCATTCATTTCTAGAAAGACCACTTGGGAATTACAGTGTACATGTCCCAGCCCTCTGGCTAGAAAGCTACACAGTTGAGCTCGCCAGCCAGGTGATACTACAAAATTGCACCCTGGGTCACCCCTGCTTTTAAGGGAGCCCCTTGATCAGCAACTTGTGCTCTACCCTGCCTGGAAAGGGAGAAGGCTGTCAATAGGTAGTTGGCAGCTGCTGAAAAGCAGCAGTTTCCACAAAGTCCCAGGGGAATGGCCCCTTTCCAGTCCACAAACCAGTTGATTCATGGGGAGCCATTATCTCATAGCAGGAACCCTCCTGGTTCCCACTGCAGAAGAATAGTCCCCTCTCTGTGTACTCTTTTGGGTCAAACCAGAGGACTGCATGGGAGTGCCCCTCGAGCTGGAACCCTCCCAGAGCCCCAGGAAAATGCTTCCCATCTTTACCTGACAAATCACGAGCAGGATAGGATGGGGAGTGTTCTCCTATGGTGGGAACCCACCCAGAGCTGTGGTTGCCTCAAAGGAAGACTGGTCCTTGCCCCATCCCCCACCTCCCTCCTCTAAGTTTATCTGGAAGAGTATGTGGGGTAGGAGGCAGCTATGCCCAAGGTACCAACCCTTATGGTTGATAACTCATGCTAAAATGGTTGATGTAAAACCTCGGCTCTCATTTTAGGCTTTAATCCACTCAGTATAGCGTGTATAAAAGGTGAGGTCTTATGTGCACTAAACCTTGAAAACATGCTAGTTACATAGCTCACATGCCTATATACCCTACCTTAATCATTAGTGAAAATGATAGTTATTAACTCTAATAATAAAACACCTATAAACAAATATACACAATTTACTGTTTACTGAAGTGATATTTAAAACAGTTTGCCTAATGCCCATATTAACCACATACAGTTCATCCAAATTTTAGCTGGTAAAATTATTTCCTTTGCTTGTCAATATGCATAAATTGTGACCTGTCTAGACATCAAATGAATCAATTTAATTTTATTACTGTAACTTTTGTTCTCCCTTGCTTCTATTCCTGTCTCACGTTGCTTGCTGTCTCTTATATCCAGTACTGCTATGAAGTGAGGACTGTAGTTTTCTGTGCGTGTTCGGTAATTAAGCTAACACGTTTGGATGCCACATAAATAATGTCTCTCCATGTTTACAACTGCATAATGTATAGAAGCAAACAGCAAATTTAGGCTCATACTCAACATTGTTGATGCTATGGGGGTAATTTTATTTGCTTTACACAGAAGTCCAATTGAATCTTGTAAGAGTTATGTGACTATGGTTTATGTGCATTACTAGCATAGTACATTTACATTTAAGTTCCAGGTTGACAGAGAACTTTAGTCCCTGTAATTGAATGCAGTTTTGCTATAGACATTTTAGATTGTCATGTTTAAAGAAAACGTTTTTCCATGATCTCTCAAAGAGAAACTGAACAACTATTCACCTAGTGAGTTAATTTTGAACAATTAACAAAATAAGCAGCAATTTCTCCTTAAGAATAATATTTCTAATTCCTAATAATAAATTGGAATAATATTTATAACTTGGATTGCATACAATGTTATTTCATGATGAGAAGAAGGCTGTCTTATAGATTATGTTACACTGAAGCATGCTTTTAAGCCAAAGCAAAGAATTAACTTTAAAGCTAGAACTGCTAATTGAAACACTGTAGTATATTTTGAAATGCAAACTATGAAACACCATAATACATCTTCAAATGCATACCCATTTCTGCTGCCCAAATCTAACCACTCACATAGGTTCTTAACCTGCATATAGGACCTCCACTTAACGCACGAGGTATACGATCCCACAAGAGGAAATGCCTTGCTGGACTTGATATTAGCTACAGGGGATGACCTGGTGGGGAATCTGCAGGTACAAGATAACCTAGGGGATAGTCACCATCCCTTGATTGAATTCACTATCCAGCAAAGGGTGGGTAAACTAACTAGCAGGGGTGAAGTGCTAGACTTCAGAAAGGCTAACTTCAGTGTGCTAAGCACATTAGTTAGTGAGGCATTAAAGCTCAAGATCATTGGTGAAATGGGGGTCCAAGAAGGGTGGTCCTTCCTCAAGGGAGCAATCCTACGGGTGCAGGAGACAATCCCTTGTGACCCTAACATCTATGAATCTACAAATCTATGAATTACATTCATGTGTGTGAAATCATGACTTTTGGCTGAGAAGCATGGAAATATCAAGCAAATATATTGTTTGGTCCTCAAGAAACATGTATGTGGTACAACTGGGGATGGTTTTTAATGCCAAAATAGCTTTTCATTCTGCTCACTTTTCTCACTTATAGTTTCCCTCCAAGATTTCACTACAATCATTAACTGAGGGGTCAGTTGACTTCCCTCTGAGTGTTACTACTCCTTTTTTTTTTTTTTTTTTTTTTTTTTTTTTTTTTTTTTTTTTTTTTTTTTTTTTTTTTTTTTTTTTTTTTTTTTTTTTTTTTTTTTTTTTTTTTTTTTTTTTTTTTTTTTTTTTTTTTTTTTTTTTTTTTTTTTTTTTTTTTTTTTTTTTTTTTTTTTTTTTTTTTTTTTTTTTTTTTTTTTTTTTTTTTTTTTTTTTTTTTTTTTTTTTTTTTTTTTTTTTTTTTTTTTTTTTTTTTTTTTTTTTTTTTTTTTTTTTTTTTTTTTTTTTTTTTTTTTTTTTTTTTTTTTTTTTTTTTTTTTTTTTTTTTTTTTTTTTTTTTTTTTTTTTTTTTTTTTTTTTTTTTTTTTTTTTTTTTTTTTTTTTTTTTTTTTTTTTTTTTTTTTTTTTTTTTTTTTTTTTTTTTTTTTTTTTTTTTTTTTTTTTTTTTTTTTTTTTTTTTTTTTTTTTTTTTTTTTTTTTTTTTTTTTTTTTTTTTTTTTTTTTTTTTTTTTTTTTTTTACTATAAACATGGGTGAGCAATGTTACCATTCTGTTAAAAGGCACAAGTTTCAGTACAAAAAGGATTATTAACATTTATGAAGTAAATCATCCAATTTACCCTGAAAAACCATCTTATATACACTGGAAAGGAAAGTGGTTCTTAGTACACATTGTAAAGCTGACATGTCAACTGCTACAAGTATAGAGAGGTAGTTAGTGATGTGAGTCTGCTGTCAGGCAGACGACAAACTAGATTTGCACATTAAAAGCTAACTAAATGAGAGATGCATAAGCTTTTGGAAGCCACAACTTAATTCACCAGATGCTAAAAAGGGATTGCTACAAGAGATGGAATTAATGAGAGAATAAGGTGGTAAAGGATTATTCAAGCTATTAGGTAATTTATGTGCTAATAAGTTATAGATCTTAACAAAATATACCATTTCCTAATGCTTCCCCATTGTAAAATAGAGATTATTGTGTGCTGTGCTTATGTGTGGGTCTAGTGGCAGTTCAGAATCATAAAAGGTTATTATGGAAAACAATTTTAGATGAAACCCCATAATCTTCTTTCTAGCTTGGGAGAGCCAAAATGCAATGAAATCACTGCAATTCTGATGTGTGTAGAAAGACTGCACTCATTTGGGGTTTTGCTATCCTTTGTGTGACATGAAGTCAAGCTCCACAATGGAATCAGGCAGAATGAACCAGGGAGTCCTAGAACATAACCTATATCTGGTCTGAGAATGGCATGAATCCAATGGTCATAAAACCCAAGATGAGCTCTACTTCAGCCAAGAATGTGCCATGCTAAAATCCGGCAAGTTTGAACGAGTACATCTGTACTACCATAAAACACATGATGGTAAATAGAATCAGGAGAGAAAATGAACAGAAAAATTATAGCGTGTTTGAGTGAATGAATGAATGAATGAATGCAAGCAGGAGCCACATTTAGGCTGCAGCAATGCCCCATGCCCAACCTACATGGAAGATTCTATTCCCGTAACTGACTGATTATATTCACTTGGGCTTTAAGTTGGATGCATGAAATTTTTCTCTTAGCTTAAAATGCAAAACTCTCAATGTGCTCCTATGGCACGCATTCACTAGCATTAAGATGAATAGTTGTAATTACTGTATTATTGTATTATTATTTAGATCTCCTTAAATTATTTAAACTTTTAAATGCTTCTGGAAACTTTGTGAGTGGTAGTATACAAAATAAAGATTTACTATCTATGTTAATATATAAACAGGAGTATCATAGAATCAATGGACCAGAAGAGACCTGCAAGATCATCAAGCCTGGTCCATTGCCATAGGCAGGACGTTAATGAGCTCAAACTAGCTCAACGAGGTGCTTATTCAGCCTCCTCTTGAGCACCTCCAAGGATGATGACCACACCACCTCTGCCAGGTGTATGTTCCAGGATCTAGTTACCCTTATGGAGAAGTTCTTCCTTACGTCCAGCCTAAATCTTCCCTCTATTAGTTTATGACCAGGTCTTCATCCTCCCAAGGGGTGCCTTCCTGAAGAGTTGCTCCTCCAGATCTTGGTGTTCCCCTTTGACATACTCGTAGGTGGCTATTAAGTCACTTCTCAGCCTCCTCTTACTCAGAGTGAACAAGCCCGTTTCCCGGAGTCTCTCCTCGTAGGCCTATCCTCCAGGCCCCCAATCATGAGGATGGCCCTTCTCTGCACCCTCTCAAGCTTATCCACATACTTCTTGAAGTGCAGTGCCCAAAACTGGGCACAATTGTGGCCTCACCACCGCTGAGTAGAGAGG